TCCAAGCAGCAGTCACTCAAGAGCATGGAAAGGGAAGTAGCTAGGGGAAGGATGCAGCCTTCTGAATATCATAAGAGAAAAGCTGACATGATGGAATCTTTGGCTTTTGGTGTAGATGATGGAAAAACAAAGACCTCAGGTCAGTATTTATCCTATGTTCTTGGAGGTGCATGGGTCCTTTAATCTTTTCAGCGGAGATTGATAGAAACCAAAAATAATGGCATCGCTATTAAGGACATTAGCATATTGTCATGTAAATGATTAACCGATAAACCTGGGCTTATCAATTATTCCTAATGACTACACATGCTGCCCCTGCCCCCCTTGCTACCTCTGATGCAGAGGAAGCAAGAGGGTGGGACGGGATGGCAGCACAATCTCTGTCCACAGGAAGCTCAGGCCCCCATTGACAGAGGCTGCTCCATGGGACACGGATACAGCCTTTGTCTGCGAAGAGCTTAGGCCCCTCACGGACAGAGGCTGCTGCTGCCCCGTGCTGCTGTCTCTGTTGTGCTGGGTACCAAGGGACTCCCAGGGAGTGGGGCCGGGCGTGCACCTACTGCCAGCTCTGCCCCCAGGGACTGTTGAATAATCGTGTAATTAATAAAATTTGATACAGTTTACATGATTATTCAATTAAATGATATCTAACATCCCTAATTGCTATGACTGCTGCTGTGCCTAATATGTTCTTGTTATTACTCATTTAGTTGGTCTTCTCATTTTGTCTGCTTATCAAGCTCACCTCAGTTTTTGTGCCATGTACATAAGAACATAAGAACGACCGTGCTGGGTCTGACCAAAGGTCCATCTAGCTCAGCATCCTGTCTGCGACAGTGGCCAGCACCAGGTGCCCCAGAGAGGGTGGACCGAAGACAATGATCAAGCGATTTGTCTCCTGCCATCCCTCTCCTGCCTCTGACAAACAGAGGCCAAGGACACCATTTTATCCCCTGGCTAATAGATAATTTCATGGAGGTTAGGTCCATAAAAGGCTAACTTCTCTTTAAACGCTATTATAGTCCTAGCCTTCACAGCCTCCTCTGGCAAGGAGTTCCACAGGTTGACTATACGCTGTGTGAAGAAGAACTTTCTTTTATTAGTTTTAAACCTGCTACCCATTAATTTCATTTGGTGTCCTCTAGTTCTTCTATTTAGGGAACTAATAAATAACTTTTCTTTATCCGCCCTCTCTACACCACTCATGATTTTATAGACCTCTAT